ATCCAAACCACCATAAAAAAAAATCATATTAAAACTCAAAAAAGTAATCAAATATATGAGATAAATGACTGTTTCAAAGTACTCAAAACCACAAATCATATGCATCTCTTCTTTAGTATCAAATAAAACAAAATAGAGCACAGCAAAAAAATTGTGGTTATAATTGCATATACAAAATCAATAGAAGACAAACAATTCTGAGAGAAAGTTAACAAAAATTTATCTAATTAAAAATAATGAAGAAAGAACTAATCACCAAGAGATCTCAAAAATACGGAAACAAAAATAGATATCAATTATTAAGAATCAAAATCACATATGCTTAACCAAGTGGAATAAATATAACAAGAATGACATTTTAAATCTAAACCAGATAATTTATCAATTCCCTAGAACACGAGAAACAAATATAAGACTAAAAATTTCAATATAAAATTCGAAATATAACAATGCTCGAGAAGTTTAAGAACGATAAGTAGATTAAATATAATTGGCATGAAGACGAAACACTGGGTTGATTTAATTGTGAGGCAAAGCATTTTGGTTAAGAAAGAAATAAGAAAAGTGAATACAAAAATGAGGAAGAAAAGATGCAACAAAACAGATAACAAGGTGATAAACAGAGAACTTATATGAATAAGCAGAGGGACAAGGCAATGAAGCTAAACTGCAAGCACTCTTAATAGCCTTGAGACAATTTTGGGGGGAGGGGCGGATGAGTGCCCACTCAGACACCTTCGGTAGTGCCACCAAAGGTACTGCCTTCAATCTGGGGCCAAGACCCTGAAGTTCTTCTAACAAAATTTTCAAAAACACCAGCACTATATCTAGCCAAAAAGCACCAAAATGCTTCTAAACAAGTCAATAAAACTGCTTCAGAATTAGCACAGAATTTATTGTACCTTCTCAAAGAAGATCTGGAGAATGATGTTTGCAAGACAGGGACAAGCACGGCTTCAACTGGATAGATAAATGTCTTTTCATACACCGATAAGTGATCTGGTGGTCCCTTCTGATCACTTCTTCCAACTGGAGGAGATTCAGCAGAGTTATGCTTGGGTAAATTCCTTACTGAATTTGAGTTTGCTTGCGATGTTTTATCACTACAAGATCTAGGGCAACCAAGGGTAACTTCAACGTAGCAATTTTGCCCATTCAGCTGGCAACCAGAACCTTGTGAAACATTATATGGTAGACCTATACATCCATTTGTAGTCCTAGACTTGCCAGCACTAAGAAGATAAAACAGTAGAAGAATATATTAGAGACATATAATTTATAAATAGATCCAATAGAAGAAAAATGTAAAGGTGTGAAAATTTTACAGATAAAAAAAATAGAAATCATTCACCTAAAATATACTTGCTTGACAAGATCGTTCGGACAAAATCCAGTGAGCCTACCACGCATACCATGAGGAGAAACTATCACTGCAAGCATAGTAGCAAACATTTTAAACACAATGAAGGTGACAAGGAAACAAAGACCTTTTAATTTCCCTTAAATGATAACAGTTATGTGATGACCAACCTCGTTATTTATTAGGAAAGAGGAGGTCCAAGAGAGGTAGAAAAAAGAATGAAGGCCTAGAAATAAAAATGTCATCTCACTGTAGTGAGGGATAAGTGCTAAAAGTTCTTACAAGCACATAAAATGAAAAGGTGCAAAAGTTAGGCTAAATGTACATAGGAGGCGGAGTATTTTGCGATCTGAGAAATCAGTAAGATCATAAACTAAAAAAGGTTTGTACATCAGAATGACAGAGATATCTATAGTTGAACATCACAAAGACATGATGAACATCAAAACCAACTACTCAGGTCCACTGAAATCAGTCTCTTTCACAATTGTATAAGGACAAAGGACAATAGTTTTTACTAAACAGAAAATACATAATTTTCCATTTCAGAACAACCAATACTCGTTTCCGCCTTTTTTCTCCACATAGTGCCATAAACTTGCACCAAGTCAGTATGTCACCAATTATTCAAAGAATTTGCAAACTGTAAACTAACATGACCTGGCAAAAAAAGACTGTTTGAAATTCAATTCAAGAACATAAACTGTATACTGACCTGGAAGTTTGAAATTGGAACTGCTGTTAGATGAATGTGCTAATACTCTTTCCACATCACCACCGGAAAGCGCACGTATATGCCTAGAAATAAACAAAGATCTTGATATCAATTTGACACGCATAGAAGGAAAAATATCAACCAGACCAAATGCAACACTATAAAGCCAGGATCTCAAGAAAAAAAAAAGTGTCAGCTCTCACGAACTTTGCAGATACTACAGCATGCACAAAGATTGCCTCTTCAGTGGCAGCAAAGACGAACTCAACTGTTGGATGGCCTCTCCTAAAAAAATACCAGCCAAAAATAAGCCAAATAAAAACTTTGACCTTATCTGCTGAATTCAACTACCACAGACATAGTAAGCCAGCAAAGCTAGCAGAAGCAAAGTATAAGAAACAATGAAAACAACGACATCCAGAAGTAAATCAGTTTTTTACAGGGACCAAAGAAAGATCAAACTCCATGACAACACATGCTATTTTCAAGTCTCGTGCCAAAATTCATGTCTCCATTCAATTCTACTTCAACCTTTAATAGTACTACTAATTAACAAACAATAACAAACCTGAAAGATTCTTCACTTTGAGATTGATGATACTTTGAGAATACATCTCCAAATCTCATGTAGGAAAGTCCAATAAGTGCTCTGTAAATTCCAATATAATAGTTGTCATGAGATTACAATGTTCAAATTTTACCGATTAGTATCTGCAAAATAAATAAAAACAAACCTTTCTATACAGTTCCTTAAAGCCTGAGAAAGGGCGGCTGCAACCTCTTCTGAGTCCCCAGGAGCAACCCAAAGCCCAGATGCAACAACTTCACAAAATTGAATTGAGGATAAAATAAAATATAATCACCATCACAGACCATAACTAGAAATGATATATTGCTTTATCAAAAACAAAAAAGAAAATATGAGGATTTTTTTTTGCGAGCTTGAGTAAACCACACACTATATATATAAATAAAGAGAAAAAAAAATTAACAACTACTCAGAAGTACATAATACCTCTTAATCTTGATACAGCAGCTTGAGCGGTTTCTGAAACAGATGAGTGGCGCCCAGGAAGAAATAGCCAGAGCTTAATCTTTTCATCTATGCAAAAATACATGATGAACAACAATGGTTAGGAATAGCACAAAAAGGGTAAATTATCCCCCTTTTTTTCTTTCTTTTCTCTTCCAAGGATACATTTAAAAGTATTGTGAACTTTAGCACAAAAATCCTCATAAGTTTCAGTTATTTCTTTTTTCCTCCAAATCAAGACTACAGAAAAAACATAGTTGTTTGATAACCACTAACTGCAGTTCTTACCAGGATTGTGCAGACCCTGAGATGGATCCCAAGGTCCAACAAAGGAATTTGTCCATGTGCTGAGAAATCCCTCCTTCTGCAACTGAAGATGAGAAGTAAGTACCAGGAAGGTAGCAGCATCTTTCTGGTCCAGTTTCACACTGTTGCACCTCAAAAGAAATCTAACTTTAGTGGTCTTTCAAATAGGTAAAAGGAAGTACCTACTCATTATTCATTTCACTTGAAATAAAAAATAACTGAGGATATAAATCACCCCTAGGTTCCAACCTTTTATCAGGAAGAGTATTCACATCAGATTCATTGGGGAGAAACTGGAACCATGATACATGATGAAGACCTCCCTGTATAAATCGTAAGTATTATTATATTGATAAAAAGAAGATGTATTAAAAGTTGATACGACTAGATCACAACAAATTTCAGACATGCACATAATGGCAACACTGATGAAACATTTAAAACTAATAAGTCAGATTACAAGGTCATACATGACCACCCCAAGTAATAAGAACATTGTATTCCTTATAGTTTCCATATTCATTACACATAAAACTGTCATAAATAAGCAATCCGGTAGTCAAAACTCTTTCAAATGCTTAAGCCTCAATCTCCAGCAAAAGTATATCCTAGATTTATCCATATGTGCAAAGCTTACACATGTTATACATGATGCTTTTCCCTATTTTGGCTATCATTTTTAGTTAATTAGTCTTTTTCTCAAGAATGAAAGAACCAATCAGTAAAATCTTTTGTTGACCAAGATGTAGACCCTTCACATAAAGATGGTTTCTGTTAATGCATCCAGCCTAATTTTTCATAAAGTCATGACATCTACCAATATTGAGATGAAATTTTAACTTATAACCGATCAATATTCAATATCTATAAACCTGTCCATTTCAAGCACAGGTCCCATCCCCATTTAGGAAAAAAAATAAAATAAATAAGGAGCATGAAAATTTTCACTTTTATAGCTGGCATAAGCAATCTCCTCACTCTCACTGCACTGCATTGAAAGCCTGGATCCAGGTTGAACAGTCACCAGCCCAACCCCTTGGGATTCATAATGACAAGAATAGTTAAGCCTTCTCAAAAAGACATGCTGCAATTAACTGGTCATTACACTAATGGGCGTAATGTGCTTATGCTCAGCTGATCCCAAACAAATCACCCTGTAGTCTACCACCACAAACTGACAGCTCTACGTGTGGCAATTAATATGCAAAAATTGGCTTTATCTAGAAGCAGCAACTAGAATCTCCCAACTATATATAAACCTCTTACACACTAAAAATAATACTAAACAGTTAGTTAGTTTGTTGGTCGGCCCATCCCCAGACAATCTAAAACCCCAAAACACCATAACTCCAGTCATATTGATCAAAACCTGATGTTAGTCACTCAATAAACTCCTAAGAAAGACGAGACAATGCTCAACCACATTCATAGTCTAATCAAACAAACCTATATAAGTTTCGCAAGCAAAGCAGACAGCTTTTTCGCCAACACCACAACCACTACAAACTTAAATCAATACAGACAAACCAAATTCAACAATCAGAGCAAGAAAGAAACACATACAATTCTGAAAACATTGGTCCACATCACTTATAATTCAGCTGAACCCTCTCCTCAGAAAACCTCCCGAACTCTCCAGGACCTTCCTCAACACATAACTTCACCTGCAATTCATAAAAAAAGCTTAGAAACATCTCGGTAACACAAAAAAAGCCACAACAAACCCTAATTGGAACCGCAATAAACCCTAATTTGAATCTAGAACTTAAACGAAGCGTAATGAAAACATGAGAAGAGGAATTCAGTCGCGAAAATTGAAAATAAAATTCCAACGTTTTCTCGAGAAACAAACAGAAAATGAAATAAGAAAGAGAGAGATCGGTCATCACCTCGAGTGCAAATTGAATCTGTTTGGATTGTCGTTTGTTTTGCGGAGTTCACACGAGTTTCTTAAGGGGGTTGAGTCAGTGAGGGATTAAGATTAAGATTATAAATTATTATTTAACAAATCAAGATTAAGATTGGCTCGGACCGGTCTCGAAGATACAATACACATATTTATTCAACGAATATGCGGTCGTTTACTCGTTTTGTCGAGTCAAGTTTATTATTGCAAAATGAAAAATAGGGTTTATTTCATTTTCAACCCTTGTAGGTTGTAAGATCAATTAAGATTTTTCTCATCATCTGCTTCATCTAGAAACTAGAAAGTAGTAAAGACACCTCTATCCTTAGTGATGTACTGTACTAGGGCTCATTCAATTTTAAATTCAAAAGTATGTTTTATCATTACATCATTTACCAACTTGAAAGAACTACTTTTGATTAAATACTCAATCCAAGCTCCGTTGAAGACTTTTTGTTCAATTTATTAATCATTTTTATATCAATTTCTTAAATTTTACAAACACATTACAAGAAATTTATTATATTATGATAAAAATAATTTTATCAAAAGTTATTTTGTCACGAATAATATAAATATTATGATAAAATAAAGAAACTTCACAATATTAAGTATGACAAAAAAAATATATTGTGACTAAAAAAAATATTATCATAATACTTTATCAAAATAAAAAAAAATGTAATAAATATAGTGAAGAAACATATTTCTATCACAATATTTCGTTACAGACTTTTGGAGCTATGTTTCCTGAAGCTCCCAATGGTAAAAGAGAATGTGCTGGTACTGGTGTTTTCTTGCCTCGTCGTGTGAACACGCCTACTAAGACCCGCAAGAAGGCAGGTACAATGAAGATTCATTACCAAATTAGTTACTCGTTTTGTTCACAAATCTGATTGTTGATTTATTACCATTTTTTAATAATGTTTTAAAATTGGTTTTATTAGTTGATTTATTGTCGTTTTGAGAGAGATATGTAAAATACATTCATATTCCAATATTCATATAAAAGTGATAATACAATCAATTTCAATATAAAATCTCCATGGAATATATGCGGAAGTAAATGACAAACCTCCAACCATAGCAATTGTTGTTTGTTCTTCTTGCTCCTTAATAAATTATAAGATCTTCCACTGACTGCAATTTTTGGAGTGATGATTTTGAAACTAAAAATAAAAACTGCGTCAAATGGGGACCTGTAAAGTCTCCTTTTATGCAGTTGTCTTTCCATCAAAGACAACTGCTCAAGGGAAGAGACACAACCGTACCACATTAGTCCACATCAGTATAAAACTGTAGGACCATAATACAATTATATTAAAAGTGTAGGACCATAATGTAAAAAGTCTAACATTCTCCCACTTGGTCCAAACTTTTATAATATAATCCAGAACACAAGAGATGTATATGCGGTATGTTCAATTTAGAAAGAGGAAAAGTTACATGAATCATAGCAGTAAGTCCTTTTAAACAAGTATTATCTTCCATGTATTACAATGTAATTTTTCTCTTTCTAAATAAACGCTTAAATGTAGAATAACACTTTATGAACAAACCTCAAATGTTTGTTCTAGGTCCTCTAGAATGTTTGTTTGTCTCCAACCAAAATGTATACAACGTAAAAGAGAAAACAAACTAAATTACAAGGTTTCAGACAATGAAAGTATTACCTCTCATAATGACAAAGCAGGACATAGTCCCATTTGAACAACATGATCCTTGAACGTCTTTGGTGGCATGCCTTTTGTAAAAAGATAAACAATCATATGCTCGATATGTATATGTTCAATGAGCACTTCTTTGGCTTTAACGTGCTCCCTTATTGCTAAGTACTTAATGTCGATGTGTTTACTTCGACTTCCACTCTTATTATTCTTAGCAAAGAATACAGTAGCTGAATTGCAAATATAACTTTATTGGCCTAGAGATAGACTAACAACTCCAAGCCAAGAAATGAAACTTCTCAACCAAATACCCTGTGTAGTGGCCTCAAAACAGGAAACAAATCCAGCTTCTATGGTAGAAGTAACAACTTGATGAGAATGCGAATGTCATATTTACCCCTCTTAATGTCTAGTCTTTACATTATTTGTTTCTTAAAATGTATTGATTATATTCTATTTTGATTTAGGAAGCAAATGGGAGCGTTAATTGCAAAACGGAACTAATTAAGTGAATTCGGACAGTTTCGACATTGTTTCGTAATTGGGCATAACTCTCTCATCCGAGCTCCGATTGAGATGATTCAAAATGCTGTAAACCATAAGAAAGAGATCTACAACTTTTTAGTTTTGAGTTTGGAGAGTACTCGCTGCACAAGGTTGTAATCGGGCTTGAAGTTGACGCATCTGCATTGGATGTCCTGGAGCATTCGACTTGTCATGCAAGTCAGTCTATTATTGCCGTTTTGAAGACATACATGCTGCACGAAAATTACAGCTGGAAACACCAATTTCCTATTTTATTAGGACTCTATTTTATTTCCAATTAATCAGATTAGGATAAGTGTTATTTTAGGATATTAGAATTGTTTAGGAGATTGAGTGGTTTTTTCTAGATTTGAATTGGATTTTAAAAGGAGAGATGAGATTAGGTTTTAAAGGGGGGGACCACGCCTCTCTTCTCCTCTCTGGAATTTTTCTTTCTTTTTGAGTTTTTGTTTATGGATGTGAGGCTAATTTTTATAACTTGGTCGAAGGAAACAGAGGCCTCGGAATCAATAAACTGTGAGATCTATATATTTTTCTTAGTGTTCAATTTTCGTGTTTGAGTATTGGATATTCTTCTGTGCCTAATTTTATGATTGTTTGTTTAATTACTGGGAGGCCCTAGTTTATTAATTGTTGCAATCTACCGCTAAGTTAGATATCAAATCGTAATTGTTTGATCCCTCAACTTGTGAAGCAATTAGGGTTAATAATTTGCTGCGTCAGGAATTAGTAATCTTAAGAAGACATTCAACTAAATTAAATTCAACCGCTTGAGTTTGTATTGTTTAGCTATCGATTTCTCTATTCTTAAGGCTGCCACTAGATTAAATCTTGAGTGCTTGTCTAGGGTTGTTTAGTGGTAAGATTAATTAAGATCGCTTGTTTCTTAATTAATTACAATTAAGGAGAGATAGGAAAATAGTTCCAACGGTGAAATTCAGGTATGAATTGATTTAATTTTGCATCAATGATCAGTTGTAAGATTCCGATGGCGGATGTTGACTGAGACCAGTTTTGTTTATTAATTGATTTCGATTTGAATTGTTTTTGTTTTTATTTTTGCTAAGATTGTTTCTATTTTACTCAAAAACCCATTGTTCACATCATCGAAAATTCGACTAGACACTCTCGTGGGATCGACCCTGCTTACCCTATTTACAGTTCAGTAGTTAGGTTAGGAAGGTTTTTAATCTTGGTTGCCTACGACAGCAACACCACAACTAAAGATTGTTTGGCACTTCTCCAAGATACAACACCTCCGGCGAGCATAAAAAATATCCGGATGTTGATTTGCGAGAATCAACATAGCCAGCAAAGTGAGTCGAATATTCGAGGACTTCTAAAATGTTGACCGTCTATAAGTAAGCATGAAACCCTTAGTTCCTTGAAGATACTCATGACCTTCTTTGCAGCTCTCCAATGATCCAAACTTGGATTACTTTGATATCATCCTAACATGCCAACTGCAAAGCAATGTCAGGTCTGGTACAGACCTGAGCATACATTAGGCTTCCAATAGCTGAAGCATAAGGAATATTTTTCATTTATTCCTTTTCAATCTCAAGTGTAGGACATTGGTTCAGATTGAACCTATCACCCTTAACAATGGGTGCAACACTGGGTGAACAATCTTTCATCTAAATCTCTCAAGAATTTTATAATATAGGCTTCCTGAGATAGTCTTAAAATATGTTGAGACCTATCCCTATGAATCTTAATGCCAATAACATAAGTGCCTCACCTATATCATTCCTACTAAAAGTTGAGAGAGAAATTGTTTCACTTATGTAGCAAACCCAAATCATTGGTTGCAAGGAGAATATCATTTACATATAAAACAAGAAAATGATTTTACTCTCACTCACCTTGTGGTATATACACTGATCCAGACATTCTCTACAAAACCAAATGAGAGATAACAGTGTGAAATCATAAATTCCACTGTCGGGAGGCTTGTTTAAGTCCATAAATGGACTTCTAGCTTGCAAAACAATGCTCACCACACTTGAAATGAACCCATCAGGTTGTTTCATATAACCTCTTCCTCCAAATTCCATTGAGAAAATCTGTTTTAACATCCATTGATGTAAATTAAATGAAATGGGCAACTAATGCCATTATGATACGGAAGGAATCCTTTTTAGAAACTGGAGAAAATGTTTCTTGTATCTATTCTTCCTTTTGCGTGAACCCCTTAACAACAAGTCTAGCTTGTACTCTCAAGTGTTGCCTAATGAATCCCTTTTGGTTTTAAATACCCATTTACAACCATAGGTTTCTTTTAGTAGGTAACTCAAAGGTCCCAAACTTTATTATCCGCCATAGAATTCATCCGTCAATCATGGCATTATACTACAATTCAGATTTACTACTGTTCACAGCTTGTAAAAACGTGTCTGGATCATCCTCAATACCTATGTCACAGTCAGCTCTTGCATATACACTTCATAATTAGTAGGAATTACTGATTTCTTTGTTCTAGTAGATCTTTTAATGTATATCAGCAGTCTCTTGAGACTATTGCACAACTGGTTGTTCCACTTTT